GATAATGAGGTGGGGCTCCATCGTGTAAATATCGCATGTCATGACGATATTTAGTGGTCATCTTTCAAGAACTGGAATAAATCGTTACGAAGAAAGTTAAAATATATTTTCTGAGTCTCTCATGATGTTCAATACGGCCGATTAAATGGTCGTCAACTATTCTAAACCAATTGTTCATTTTAAACTCATGTTGAGAGTGCTGAAGCCAATTTTCATTGGAATTCTCATCTGATCAACGGTGAGAATTTTTAATATTAGATTAGATTATCCGTAGCCTCATCTGTGAACAAGATTTTTGAAGCAAAATCTGGATTTTGGCATTTCACAAAAATGTGCTGTTGGTAAAAAGTCACGTTCTAAAAAATTTTGTAAACGGATAAAGCTGTTGTTCATAGAACCAACTTCAACATTTCATGCTATTTGGAGAATACTAATATTTGAGTTTTCAGCAAACTATAGTGGTCGACCATTTCGATTACGACGGTTAGAGCTACCCGTTTCTCTCAATTTTTGGAACAACCTTGAAAATTAATAGCTCTCAATTCAGCATCACCATATACTTCCGTAAATGATACTTGGTCAAATTATTTTCTTTGACCCCTTGTATATTTATTATTAACTTTTGCACTAAAGTAAGTCGGTTCAGATTATTAGATTAGTTAGACAGTTATTTTGACCACAGGAGCCTCTAATGACCCATTTATTATTTATATTGTTGATAAAATGCTGTCCTTTTCAGATAATTTTATTTATTTGAATCGAGTTTGGATTGGGTTTTTGAAAAAGTGTCACAAAAATTTGTTAGAGCCCTTCGCCATTTTAACTCTCATAGGTTTCTGTATATTGCCACAAAAAAATTAAGTTGCAGCTGTGGATTAACAAACTTCACGCTGGTACTAATCTGCAAATTCAACACTCTTTACTAAAAAGCAATTTAATTAAATTGGAAGAGCGAACGCAACTGAATTCTATGGATTCAGTAAAAGTTAATTCTACTCACATAAATAAACATGTAGAGGTTTTTTCGTGTAAAGAATAAAATTTCTTAGTATATCTGAGAAAGTCGCGCAGTCTAACGACAGTGCAATTGCTCTCATCAAATCGATGATTCCTGCCTATAAAACTTGATATAAATTACACAAAATTACAGACATATGTCACTTCAAAAGTCACGCTGAACTAGAAACAGTGTACCTGTAAGAAAAACAGTTATAGCGTAGACCGAGATCATTGTTATATTACGCGTGGTATCTCCAACATTTAATATCCTACTATAGTCTCTTATTTAATGTATAAATTTTGTTACATATAGCAAGTACGATGTGTGTTTAACATTTATTCTGTATCAACATTATAATAGGTAATAATTAAAGTATCTTGGGTAACATGGCGAGTAGATAGTGTACTTCGCGAGAGCCACTGGTTCGAGAAATACGCATCAATCGAGGATCTAAATTATCCTATAACACCCGTGGTGCCTTCAGTGTTTACCGTTCTACTAATCTGTTATTTAATTCGATTTTTTTTACATAAAGTTGCCTTTATTTGACATTTAGAATGTATTGACACTATGGTAATTAAAATATCCTAGGTATTATATGGATAATATTGTTCGAGACTGTTATTTAAATCGAATATATTTTTACATATAGCTGTTATGACATTTATTTCACATTTAATCTGTATTGACATTAATAAACTTGTTTTATTTCCAGGGCAATGCGTTTTTAATTTGTTCAGGACGTTATGGATATTTCGTAATGCCTAGAGCGTTATTTCTCATTTAATGTATTTCAAAATACGGTGATTGTTACAAAATAATAGAATAGCGGGATATTAATAATTAGTTTAAACGCTTAGAGCTTTTATTTCTGCTTTGTGCAACTTAACCACAATAACAACTATTCCAGAGATATAATGCGATAAAATAGGGCAAGGGCAGACAATATGGAAAGGTTAACTACAGGTGCATATTAAAATGCACCCATGGAGTATTTTTATAGCAATTTTATTACAAAATGTAACGTCTGGCAGTCTTCCTAGACGTTTAGAGAAAAACGCTTCAATAAGCTCTAAGCGACATGGTACATTTATAAAAATAGAAATACTGTTATATTTTTAACACAATGATTAAAAGATTGAATACATTTTTTTTCGATCTTCTGTCTTTGTTAGGCCTTTGGAATACGTGGTTAAAATTAATGACATTTTGACTGAATCACCCTGTATAGATTACCATTTAAAAAATCAAAGGTGACCTTCGGATATACTTGAAGGGCTCTAGGATTTCTGTGAAAATAATAGTACAATATCGTCACCCGATTTTTTTATGCGACAAATAGTTTTCAAGATATTAAGGAGGTATATCGGGGTCGCAGGGAAGTGAGGATCGCAGGGGGGACTAAAACCCGCTACGAACTTGAAAAAATTAGATTCTATTGAAATTATTTGCGATAAACATTATCTATACAGGGTGTCTCATAATTAGCCGTCAACCCTGAACAGGCCGATTCTATGATCAAAACTAAGTAAAAAAGTTCATATGAACATGAGTCCGGAAATGCTTCCTAAGGGCACAGGGACCCATTGAAGAGGGAGGAATGGAAATCATTTTTTTGCAATATCTCTCAATCGCGTTGTGATAAATGAATGAAATTTGGTATACACAGCTAAATTTTGATGAGCAATTTGATGGACTAATCCATTTATTTCCACAAGGTCCATTGGGGTGGGTACGGGGGGGCCCTTGGTACTTTGCGTGTGTAACTTTTTCATCTTTGACTTTTTAACAAATTGGACAGCAAATTCCGTTTTCCCGAACTGTTTTACGTTAAAAAGGTACTCTTGTTTCAAATCGTTATCTTTAACGGTTTCTGAGAAAATCGCTCTTGAATTAATCCCACTTTGGTCAATTTCATAGTAATTTAAACAAAAAATAATAATAATAATTTTCCTTTCCTCTCTTTTCCATTTAAAGGATTAATTTTTATTTAATTTAATTTTTTATTATTATTTTTTTATTAAAATTAGATTAAATTTAAACAAAAAAATTTTTTTTTGTTTAAATTACTATGAAATTGACCAAAGTGGGATTAATTCAAGAGCGATTTTCTCAGAAACCGTTAAAGATAACGATTTGAAACAAGAGTACCTTTTTAACGTAAAACAGTTCGGGAAAACGGAATTTGCTGTCCAATTTGTTAAAAAGTCAAAGATGAAAAAGTTACACACGCAAAGTACCAAGGGCCCCCCCGTACCCACCCCAATGGACCTTGTGGAAATAAATGGATTAGTCCATCAAATTGCTCATCAAAATTTAGCTGTGTATACCAAATTTCATTCATTTATCACAACGCGATTGAGAGATATTGCAAAAAAATGATTTCCATTCCTCCCTCTTCAATGGGTCCCTGTGCCCTTAGGAAGCATTTCAGGACCCATGTTCATATGAACTTTTTTACTTAGTTTTGATCATAGAATCGGCCTGTTCAGTGTTGGCAGCTAATTATGAGACACCCTGTATAGCAAAGAAATCTACTCAATATGCACAAAACATACATATTGAAAATTAACAACATAAAAATATCTTATTTAAGTAGTTTTAAATTATATTTAATGAACGCATAAACACTATGTAGATGTTGCAACAGCGCTAATAATCGAGTGCAGCTGTACACACTGCGAACCTACAGACCTCGGACATCGGAGATATGGCGCGTCAAATTCGGGTAAAGATGCGTACGCGTTCAAAAATGTGTGTAAACTTTGTATCCTTTATTTAAAATCCGTAAATCATGTGAACTGTTAAAACAACGAAAATTATATTAATTTAGTTCTAAAGAAATGAAATGACACTCGCGCCCATCTCTCGTCCAAGTCAAAGAAAATGTTGGATGCAATTTTGAAGGTTCTGTGATAGAAATTACATTATTACTCACTGTTCGTGTTTTTTATCTCTATTTTAGTAATGTTACAAAAGTGTTGCAACTATAACTCATTTTTTAGATATAAAGTTTGCTTAGAAATATTTATGTTCCTTTGTTATTCTGTACAAATGCTTTTATCTCAAGTATTACTAATTATATTAACCCTAAATATTGCTGGGTACGGATTACGATGTTTTTATAAACCATTAAATATATTAAAAGGATTTATCAACTGTATTTTTAATTCCAATAAATATATCACATCTTCTTAGCCTTTTTTAATTAATTTAGTTTTTTAAAAACATTACAAAAAATAATCTGTTGTGGATAATTTATTTTTGATAACAATGTACATGGGATTTAGGAGAAATGTATATGTTTGAAATCAATTTCGTTTTTATCAAGTCTTTCAAATGTATCCCCTCCTAGCTGTCAGCTGATTGCGACGTTGCCACATTAATCTTCAAGTCAGAAATTGGTTTCTGTTTTTAATTAATACAGCTGTACTATGTCAAAACTTACATTAGTTTTACATCAAAAATAAGATAATACTGTGTACAATCATCTATGGAAAAGTTTTGTTTCACAATTTCTAGTTATGGGCAAAAAAAGAGCCGCACCATCCATCTTCGCCATATAAACCTATGTTAAAATGAACAACTTTCAACAACAATATCTCAAAATCTAGATTAAAAAATTTTTTTTTTAAATATGACGCACAAAGGGAGCACTGGGTAATACCCTATATAAATTTCAAGTACATTTGTGTATTTTGTAAACCCAATATACCTCCTTAAGTCGTTTCCTTTCAAATGGGACCCCTGGTATGGTTCTGACCAATAAAATTTACTCAAATGAAAAATGTTTTACTAAGTAATATGTTATTTTAAAACTAAATTAACGACTTTACCGCTTTTACATGTGATTTTTCTCTCGCTGTACGATACAGACTACAATAAACGACGACTCTTTTATTTATAAATTTTGCAAAGAGATTCTATCTTAACCCGCCCTTCTCCTAAAACCGCTGTTAAATTTAACCATAAACCGGTAACGAAACCATTGGTGTTGCAGGCCGTCGTCAGCGAGGTCACCTACGCCGAGCTGTCCCTGACACGACCAAACTCCCTGGAGCCTGTTAAAAATGGCGGCAACCAGTACGGCACCCTACGCAGTAGGGAGGACCCAACTATCTACGCTCAAATAGATCATAATAGAAGGCCACCACCGGTCCCAGCCAAAACGTCCCCCATGGTCTCGCCAGTGTCATCTATTTTTCCGGCTGCCAAGCAGGGATTGTACCACAGAGAGGTAGTCACCGTTCGAACGCCCTTAATGGGCTGCCAACAAGAAAGCTGTGTATAAAGCGCCGTGGGATTTTTGTAAATAGTGTGCATGGACTTGAGGTTCGGTGTGTAAAGGTGTCCCTGTAGTATTTGCCGGCCTTTATTGCGGAGCAGTGGTGGTAGTGGCGATGGCCTGTCGCCTAATCTATAGCCATCGATCTTAATTATGTCGGCTGGGTCGCTGCTCGTGACAGCATAGGCAGGAATTTATACGAGGTGTTTCGGAAATGACCGGATAAACTTCTGTGACAGATGTTGCTTAAGGAAATTAAAAGAAAAATTATTATGGAAACTAACCTTAAGATGTGTTGATTCCGAGACACAAGTTTTCTTGCCGAAGACAATATAACATGGGTATTAACATAACTTTCTACCCCCCTTATTCTTTTTTTGCCTTTCTGTCTATGAAGGAATAGTAAATTGCGATCTCATAGAAATGTAAAAAAATAGTTGAATGTTGCGTTCTCGAAGTAAAAACCAAACTTTTGATTTATCAAATAGAATACTCTGTATATTTGTCTTGTTACTTTGTTTGTTTTGACTCCTGTTACTTTTTTATTACAACGATATACAGGGTGTCGGGTACATACAAGTCGATTTAGCTAAATTTACCTCAGTTTAAAGTTGCTCCGTTTTGAAATCCTTTATTTTTATAAATTTAAAAGTCCTGAATTCGACGACCTTCATTACAAACAGGGTGTCGCTGAAAAGGATGGACAACGCTTGACCACAGGTTCCTTGGATGAAAATATGACTATTTAGCCAAACTTACCTATATACAAAAGTGCACGCCTACTGAGATATAGCCTTCTAAATATAGAATAGATAACCTATTTTTTTCAAATAATTTGAAAACTAATTTTCTTAGACACTTCAAATTTGGTACACTTATTTTTTTATATAAGGGCAAGGTAAATATAGAATTTGGAGAGAATACATATACAGGATGTTCTATTTCTAGTGCCTGTGCGCCACTGGCTATCCCGTAACTTTTTTGTATGTACGGCAATGACGACAGAATTTATATTTTTAAAAATAAGCACTATTTTAGAAGATTTTTTGCCTCTTACAAAATTTCGATATAGTTTATGGATTTCGAGTAAAATTGGCATTTTTTACACATTAAATAATATAAAATCAGTTTAAGATAAATAGAACATTCTAGTACGAGGTGCCATATAACAGAGAAACAAATTCATAATAATAATTAAAAGGTTATGTGTCAAGCTAGCGGTGATTTAATTTTAGCATACTTTGTTTTTTATTGCAATTTATACTTTTGCTGAAAAAACTGATATGTTAGTAGTTTTGGGGTATTGTGAAGAAAATTGTTGTGCTACTGTTCGAATATACGCCAATGACGACAGAATTTATATTTTTAAAAATAAGCACTATTTTAGAAGATTTTTTTGCTCTTACAAAATTTCGCTATAGTTTATGGATTTCGAGTAAAATTCACATTTTTATACATTAAATATAGGCAAATATTCCGATTTATAAAAAATAATTTATAACTGCAGCCTCAAAGCAGGGAATAATAATGAAAAAACGTCACATTAAAAAAAATAACTACACATTTTTGGTATTAGTATTACCAATCAATAAAATAAAAATCAACAGTAATATTTAAATAAACAATATCAACTAATAATGTAAGAAAGTCAACATTAACATTTTAAATAAACTAATATTTGTAATCACATTAAAATAATATCACAGTAAATGCTCAGTTACTTTCTTGTTCTTAAACGCAAACATTAGTTCTTTGAAAATTAGAAATTATCCAATAATTGTGCATTACCCCTCTCATAACATTAATTTCATTTTGTATTCTTTCCCATATTCGTTTTCTGTATTTACTGAAAAGTTATTTTAAACTGTGGTCCTCAACGCTACCCAAATGAAATAATTACATGGGTTTAGGTCCGGGGATCGAGGTGGCCATTTTAAAGGGGCATTATTTCCTCTACATATCCACCTGTTAGACCTTTAATAACCTGTAATACCTACCTGTACCCTGTAATACCTGTAACCTGTAATAACTGGCCTTTTAATACTCTATTAAAGGAACTTTTTGATAGCCAACCTCTGCCGCTAAACGTATTTTATTTACTTGAGGAATTTCTTCGGCCCTTTCCAAAATTTGTTCCTCCAGCTAAATAATTCCGGCCGTACATTATCCACGATTTAATATTACAGGTAAAAAACGTCCTGTTTCCCGAAGGCGTCTCTGGCATTAGTAAATGTTTTATGATTTGGAGTTCTTCGATTAGGAAATCTTTCAGCATATATTCGAACAGTAGCACAACAATTTTCTTCACAATACCGCAATACTACTAACATATCAGTTTGTTCAGCAAAAGTATACATTACAATAAAAAACAAAGTAAGCTAAAATTAAATCACAGTTAGCTTGACACATAACCTTTTAATTATTATTATGAATTTGTTTCTCTGTTATATGGCACCTCGTACTAGAATGTTCTATTTATCTTAAACTGATTTTATATTATTTAATGTGTAAAAAATGCCAATTTTACTCGAAATCCATAAACAACATCAAAATTTTGTAAGAGGCAAAAAATCTTCTAAAATAGTGCTTATTTTTAAAAATATAAATTCTGTTGTCATTGGCGGACATACAAAAAAGTTACGGGAGAGCCAGCGGCGCACAGGCACTAGAAATAGAACATCCTGTATATGTATTCTCACCAATTTCTATATTTACATTGCCCTTATATAAAAAAATATGTGTACCAAATTTGAAGTTTTTAAGAAAAACGGTTTTCAAATTATTTGAAAAAAAACTAGGTTTTCTGTTCTATATTTAGAAGGCTATATCTCAGTAGGCGTGCACTTTTGTATATAGGTAAGTTAGGCTAAATAGTCTTGTTTTCATCCAAGGAACCTGTGGTCAAGCGTTGTCCATCCTTTTCAGGGACACCCTGTATATTGTAACTGACTATTTGACATAAATTGAAAATCATGAAAAGCCACCTAAATTATTCAATAAGTTGCTGAACCAATATAACTTGATCAATTTGTTGACGAAATTATTGGGACAAAAAATCGCAAATGTAAAAGGTTTAACACTTTTTTTGTCCATATTTCTCTGATTTATTAATAGCTCTATCAAACATTACATGACTATATTCTTCTGTACATGTATGTAAAACACGTAGTCATCTATTAAAAAATGAATGAAATGAACCTTTGAAATGCAACATTCAAATGTTGTTCCAAGTACCGCCTTGATTTTAAAATGATGGTGTTTATCATTTTTTTGCAAATGTAAAAATAAAAATAAAAACTTGGATGTTACGTAAGTATCTCGAAAATATCTGTCACAGAGGTTTCGAACCTCATTTTTGTAACATCTTGTATAATAACAACAAAATAATTTGTCATACATCCTACGTGTTCCATTTTAATTGATACATGTGAATATCTCGTTAGTGAAGCCTAGGATCAAAAAATGGCCTAAGTGAAAGTTTTCTGTTCATTAGGGAAAACAGTTGCTGACCTTGAATTTGACATTAACCTTGAATTCCATAATTGAAAGTCTACTTCATAATTGAATAAATGGTATCCTCTTTTCTTACCTTGGAAATGGATTCGGCAAAAAAAATTACAGCCGGATGTGATCTCAACCTTGACCTTGGTGTCAATGTCAAGGTCACAACGTGTTCAAGGTCACAGCGTATTCATATGACAAGCAACCTCGGAGATTTCTCAATATGCAATTAAATTAACAATAGATTAATGAAACGCATAGGTATTGTCAGGAGCAAATAATGTGGAAAAAGGGTACGGGGGGGGGGACGAAAAAAGTGTTTCGTTACTCAACAAAGACATAACTCTGCTTGACAATTGAAAAAGACATATTTGAGTACATTACAAAGTAGGTGACAGAGTTATGGTGGAAAATTGAAAATAAATGTAAAAAATATTATTTGTGGACCATTGAATCACGAGGTCATTTCATTAATAATCCAGGGTTAACTCTTGATTTGATCTTCAAATGAACTTTTAATTTGACCACTTATTACTTTCCAATGTACTCAGATGTAGAATTTATCGCATTTTCAGGTTCCAGCCCCAGGAATACAGGTGCCGATATAAAAAGAACCAAAGTCGTCCTTCAAATGACCTTCAAGATTAAATCCTAGATCCACGGTTCCGAAAATCCTTAAAACCTTTGTAAAGGTCATCAAGGTCGATTTCTGTACTCGACCTTCAAATGACTTTGAATGTCAATGTCAAGGTCGTATCCAAGGTCATGATTTGAGTACCTTGGTGAAAATCTTATCGACATTGGGGGTTACATATTATGCCGAGGTTCTTTAGGGTGACGAATAATTTCAACTCGCTGTGACCTTGACCTTGACAGCAAGGTCAAAGTTGAGACCACACCCTGATGTAAAATTTTCTGCCAGATCCATTTCCAGGGTAAAAGATAGATGGTCCCATTTAAAATTATGAAGTTGACCTTCAATTGGCCTTCAGGTTCACAGTTAACGTCAAATTCAAGGGCAAAAAATGGGCCACGTGGTATATTGCCTAATTTTACTATTTTAATGTTATAATGAATGTATTATCAATGCATTTTTTTCCATTGCCAAGAAATGCGTCAACAATTTCAATTAAGAATCTATTTTTAACTTTCTTAAAGGTACAAGAAAAATTTTTAATTGACCCAGTTTTAATTGGCATATATTTATTTATTTCAATGTACGCCAATATCTTCCCTTCTCTGCTGTCTTGATTTCCTATGCGTATTGACAAGAAAATACATATCCAATTAAATATCATAAACCTATATACGAGTAGTCCATTCGAATTTCCATTTGGTGTATTGGTGTTTCAATAATTAATGATACACACATGAAATTTGAACCGATTTTGAACGATTTATATATCGTCATTTCCATGATCTTGATCGTGATGGTAGTGGTGACTTAAGACCAGCTTCATCTGCACAAAATATCGTGAATTAAGTCAGAAATGATATGAAAATGATACAAAACTGCAAGTATT